TTTAGAGCGAAGGCGAGGGGACAAGCAGTCCGTCCTAGTCCGTTTAACAGTGGGAGTGAGTGGGCTGCAGATCGTGTTGGACTAGGGTAAGATAGTGCGGTAAGCAGTGGTTGGGGCCTTGTTTCGGTGTCAAAACGGCCGGTAGTGTCGAGATTGATGGGAATGAACTGAACTGAACTGAACTGAACTGAACTGAACTGAACTCGAGGAGCGGGTATTGTATATTATTATGGAACGACTATGAATTGTGGTCTATGTCGAGTACAAGTGAGGCGCCATGCTAGCAAGGGTGCGGCCGGGCAGAGGACAGGACAACAGCAGCTCAGCTGAGATGGACGAGGCAAGTTGCAAGTAGCTACACCTCAGTACAGTACAGTCAGTTCAGTTGGTAGGTACCCGGGCAGAGAGGAGGTCTAGGCAAGGGTTAGCTAGGCTGCGGCGAAGCAGAGTCATGAGTGAGGATGAGAATGAGAATGAGAATGAGAATGAGCGGTATAAGATGGAACGATTTGTTGTGGAGGGAATGTGGTCATTGTTTTGGTCGAATGTGAGATACTCGAGGTCGAACATGATAAATGATGAAACTCGACAACAGGTAGGTACTCCGTACTGTACTTACCTCTAGGTAAGGTTAGTAGGCTATAGGGAAGGGAAACTACTGAGGTACCTAAGGTAGGTTGGCCCTCGGTCAACTAGAAAACCTAAAGTGGCTGCCCACATTTAGCACTCGGGGACAAAGACCGGGGGGGGGGCAGATCACTGGAGGTCTCCGGGAATCGCCGTGGGTTAGGTGGGGGATTGGAGTTCCTTGTTTCAGTATAAGCCATGCCGTAGGGTATTGGATGCCAGAGAAATAGCAGCCTGACGCCTCTTTTTTGTTTCTGCTGATCAGGTCAAGATTTGGAGGGTATTTTATTGATGGAAGGAAGGATAGATGAAAGCGCAGGGGGTATATACAGTACATAGGTACAGCTAAGCAGCTAAGGTAGGGTAGTAGTGTAAGGTAGTTAGTTGGTGGAGATGTGTTGGTGCTAGGGGAAAATCCATGGATATGGGAAGCGAGAATCGAAAGTTGTTGTAATGGAAGTCTGGTACATACATACCTAAACATGATTGCTTTTTCTTCTTCTCCTTGTTCTATGTATGTTCCTATGTTGGTATATGTAGCAGGAGGAACGCTGATGTATACTTACCTACCTATATAAAATACCTAGCTACTGACTCGAGGATGGTACCAGCTCGTCAGTTATCACCAGTAACAAAGGCCGTGCCCTCTTTTGTAGGAAGACGACAAAATGAATGAATGAGTAAGTCAGCCAGCCAGCCTCTCCGCACTTTAACCGTGCCTTCCTTTGAGTACACTACAGTACTGTATTCTCAGCACAGACAGACGCTAGTCAACGATCTGGGCGATAGACGGGAGCGGGTGAGCGGGCTGGCGCGCGGTAGCTTGGATCACATCTGGGTAGAGGAGATAGGGGAGGACGGAGACCTGGTCACAGTGACTTGACGACTGTCCTCTATTCAACAAACAAATTAGGGTGTCTGGAATACTATAGTCTATAGATAGGCACCCAGTATTTGAGGTCCTCAACGCCGAAGCCCTTGCCCTTGCTCGCTTTCAGGCTACATATCACAATATTGTCGTATAATCATGCATACAATATCCTTCCATCTTATGTGCATCTGTTTCTCTATCCCTGAATACATGCATACATACAGTACGATTGTCCGGCTCCCCAGCATCCAAGTCAAGCTGCCCGATTGAGAGATGGATGCATGCAGACATGAATTGCATGGATCTGGGGACCTTGCCTTTGACCAACAGCGACAGGGGCCATGAATGGGGAATGCAACCCGATCGTCATTCGCTCTTTGTTAGGAAGGACTCTGATCAATCTTTCTCCTTCTGCGTATGTACAGTACGTAGGTAATTTGTAGTTGATGAGCTGTCGTCGTCAACTCCTCGCTAACAAACACAGCCTATATCAACTACTAATTAATCCGTATACTAACCCAACATAGGAACGAGAAACAGGTCTTGTGATCTTGCTATATCCCACTCTTGGTAATGGAATACCCACGGTACCTATGTACGACAACGCATCTGCGACATCTGTCCACACCGAGCGACCTGCAGATCCAACCATTGCGATAGGCAATGCTCCTATATCCATATCAGGAGATTCATGCCTCCACTGCTTACACACATCCCTCGAACCGATGGTAATAATAGACTACTTATTTTGTCAAGACCACAGCCTGCTTCTCGTACAACCCCAATCTGACCAAAGACAACTGGAATATTCCCATTATACTCTCGCAAACTTGGCCGGCTTGGATCACACTGAGATCCTCGCATTGTACAACCTGCAGCCCTGGTGAAACAGCAGCATCAGCATACGATATTCTGTGTCACCCCAAACTCACTCACTGCCCAAGGTCAATGCCTATCAGCTCGATATCAAACGGACAAATAGATATTAGCTTAGGGATCTCTCATGCCACGAGGGACGACGCCAAACCCACATGATCGATCATTCATGTAAACTATAACCGCACAGTTGGTCGATGGGAAATAGCAATTGGGGAATATGGACCCGACCTCCATGTCTCAAACTGAACTGGAGCTACTGTATGAAGTGCTTGACCGGTCTGAACTGGCAACTGACCAGTCAGAATACCTGGGAAATAATGAGGCCCTCCCTCCTCTGTTGCATACCTTCCAGCCTACCGCTGACTGACTGACTGTCTCTGTCACTGTCACTGTCTCAAATCAAGGACCCTCATGTCCTTTGTTATCTAAGCTGGGTTTAGCTCAATTCAACTCTAGTTGGCCGTTGCAGCAGTGAATGTCCCCAGGCTTGCTTCCAGATGCAATACAGTACATACACATATATGCCTGACAACGGAATACTACGCCCGTATTACAACTTGAGAACGACTCACTTGCCTGCCTACTAAGCTGATACTGAAGCTTGCCTCATTGACATCGGCGCTGTCTCATCTTTTTCGTACCACCCACCAAAACCAAAAACCCCCCATTCGACGCATCCCTCCAGCGCGGGATGTACACACGCAATCCCACGCACCTGGAACACAGCAAAGCAAAGTGCTGCAATGCTTGACGTAGCACACACAGAACATACTCTAGAGTCGCAGGCGGATCTGACCGAGCAGGCATCTGGCTGCCAAGTCTGACCATGGGGTGGGCTAGTCTTTTCCCGCAGTGGTTATACCTAGATGCAGCTCAGGGTTTTCTGGCCGAGGATATTTGTGTTCATCACTGGATTCGAAAAACTCCGAGGCCAGGGACGGCAATAATCAATCATTGACTCGTACGTACGGTACGCTCAGGGTCAAAGAGTCAATCTGTACGTACGTACGTACGTACATACATACCTATACAGTACTGTATGGGTACCTTACCTATTAATGTATTGGGTGTCAACTCAGTGTCTGTTCTCACCGCGGCCATAAGCATGTCTTGCTCTTTTCCCTGCTTGGTGGACGTCTCTCCCACAGGGCTCCACTATACATGATCTATCACCAAAGCATCAAACACCAGCAAAGCTGCCAACTTCACGCTGCCGCCCGGTTATTTCCATGCTGTCATGATCGCGTCTTCTATTTTCACTTTTCAACCACCCAACGCAGTAAAGTGCATATTCATCCATCACTTTTACATGCGGTCATTGCTTCTTCTGATCTATCATAGGTCCTCAAGTTGTTGGCTGGCACACAAATTTGATACATCATAAACCATCCCGTGACTCGTTTTAGACGCGCCGCCTCATTGCCCTCGTCTCCCTTTAGTCGGCCTTGAGAATGGCTCTTTGTTCGTGCGTTTATGTATCATCTTTAGCCCACAATCTTCTTTCTCTCCGCTCACCGGCCTCGTGGGCCCTCTCTTTGCTTTTCTTTTTCATCAGAAGTGATATATCATGTTTTGCCCGCTTCCACTTGGACGCCATTTTTCACCGGCGAATATGTAAACCGAGCATGGCATCCACTCGAGATACATACTTTTCAGACATAAGCAATGGCTTGGGGGCTCTTGTGGTCTGGAGTCAACAATGACACCTATGCTGAAGTATGTATACATTAGTAGTATGCTGCAAGCCACCGTGATAATTATACCTCATCACGGTTTTTCAAGGCGTAGTCTCTTACGCCTCAAATGACAAGTTCATTCAACTAAGTTCCCCGTCTCGTAATGTTCCAGGTCAGCATACATACCAAGAATCTGTGAATATCCTATCCAACTGCCCCTATTCGTCGCTCTGAGAAAAAGCAACTTGCGGCAGCTCATCTCATCCCAACTCAAGCCATGATCAACAAACCTTACACCGAGAAGTGGCTTGTAATCGGGAATTTCGATTTTCTCAACCTTTTGATCGGCCATCGTCGTGTTACACAACGACGCCAACAATCCCTTGGACTCGAGTAAAACACGGCTTGTCCGGTTCTTCTTCGCCCGGCCTTTGACTGTTCGTCACTTCTCATATTATCCCTGTCTCCTCTTCTTGACATGAAGCTAAAAAGGCTTCTATTGTGGATCTTAGACTCAAACTTGCACAGCCCGATGGATGTCAAGTCTCTTGCGGCTTGTGATATTGGCTAGGTAGCGATCCAGCTCGATAGCCTATCTCGCACTGCCCAATTCTCCCCCAATCCCTTTGACTGGGCGTCCCGAAACATCGGGATGCACGTTAATTGTTACGTCAAACTTCCACCTATAGCTCGCGGCTATGAATTCATCCCGTGGATTCTGACACCAATCAACCATCAGCTTGTTCAAGAGGCGTTCTTTTCTCCATTGACCGCTACTTGGATATCTGTTTCTGTTCTTGACTCTACCTCTCCATGCAAGTTCCCGTGTCTGTCATCATCTAACATGTCTCATTTGGTTGACTGTGAATTCATATACCCTCTGCTTTTAATCTCACCCTCTGTACGCACCGTCCCTTCCAGTGTCATGGCAAACCTATCACATCCCTCTACAGCTTGTTCACAAGTCCTCGCGAAGACTTGAGCTGAACCATCTTCTCAAGAGCTTCGTCAATAGGAACCAGCTCACCCTTCGCCTGGGTGGCCTGGTCGTCTCGGTTACGGATGTTGAGGGTGCGTGAGCTGGCCTCCTCGGCACCGACAACTAACAATCTGGTTAGCCACTGGCCTTGAACAAGGCAGCTTCCATTCCAAACTCACCAAAGATAAAGTTGTACTGCTCCAGCTGACCGGTGCGGATCTTCTTCTGGAAAGTGTTGCTGCTCAGGTCCACATCACTGTAGAGCCCCTTTGCTCGGAAGATCTTCTGGACCTCCTTGGCGTAGTCGTTGGCAGCAGGCATGACAGGCACAACCAAGACCTGTCGGGGGCTGAGCCAGAATGGCCACTTGCCGCCAAAGTGCTCTGTCAGAATACCGAACATTCGCTCGAAGCTGCCTAGAACGGCTCGGTGAATCATGACAGGTCGTGCATATCCGGCAGGCAGATCCTCCTCGGGGTTGCTACCATCACTGACTCCGGTCTCGCCCTTGTTAGCGACATATCGAAGCTTGAATCGTCGAGGCAGGTTGAAGTCGAGCTGCATAGTACCGCACTGGTGCTCACGCTTCAGGGCATCGAACAGAGCAATATCGATCTTGGGTCCATAGAAAGCACCATCACCGGGGTTAAACTCCCACTTAGCACCCGTCTTCTCGGCGAATGAGTTGAGAGCCTCTTCAAGCTTCTTCTCGGCCGAGTCCCAGGTAGCGATGTCACCGACGTACTTCTCGGGTCGGGTGGACAGCTTAAGCTTGAATGTGAAACCGAAGATACCGTAGACACTGCTCAAAAAGTCGAAAGCAGATTCAATTTCCTCTCGGATCTAGAGTACATTAGTAGAAGCACGAGTCTGTTAGTAGAAGCCATCATACCTGATCCACGGTACAGAAGATGTGAGCATCGTCCTGTTGGAAACGACGGACTCGAGTAAGGCCTGAAAGAGCCCCAGAGAACTCGTTTCGGTGCAAGACACCAAAGTCAGCCATCCTCCAGGGGAGGTCCTTATAAGTGACATCGGAGTGAGCAAAGATCTTGCAGTGTCCAGGGCAGTTCATGGGCTTCAACCCAAACTTCTCCTTCTCAACCTCGAAGGTGAACATGTTCTCCTCGTAGTGGCCCCAGTGACCTGATGTCTTCCACAGATCCGCCTTGTACATGTTTGGAGACATAACTTCGTCGAAATCACGTTTTTGGTACTCGCCTTTGATGAGCTCCATCAAAGCATTGTAAATGCGCACACCGTGTGGTAGGAAGAAAGCAGATCCAGGAGACGCCTCGTCGAAAAAGAAGAGCTTTTGATCAGTACCGATCTTTCGGTGATTGCGCTTGGCGGCCTCAGCCAAGAAGTGCTTATACTCTTCAAGAGCCTTCTTGTCGGGGAATGAGATACCAGCAATACGCTGGACAGACTCGTTGTTGCTGTCACCGAGCCAGTAGGCAGCGGAATTCTGTTGAACATCAGCTCAAGCCCGTCGTGTCAAGATTAGGAATTGCATATATAATATCAACATACCCTGAGAACGGAAAAGGCCTTGATGTTGCCAGTGGTGGGGACGTGAGGTCCTCGGCACAGATCGATCAGGGGACCACATCGGTACACAGTACTCTTGGTGCCATCGGGAACACGCTGTTGAATGAAATACTCCTTATACTTGCTGTACTTGAACATCTCAAGGAGCTCGTCCTTGGTCATTTCCAGACGCTCGAAAGGCTGCTTCTGTTTGACAATGTTGTTGGAGAGCTGCTCCAGTGCCTTCTTATCATCATCGGTGACGACTTGCCTGGGCTTATGTCAGTGAAGTTTACGGCAAATTAATCCAAGCCTTTTACGCACTCTCCCATGTTGGCCATATCGTAGTAGAATCCAGGGGGGTCCTCAGTAGGGGGACCGTTGCACAGATAACAACCGAAGCGTTTCTCAGCGGCCTCTCCAAGAATATGGGCAGAAGAGTGCCAGAAGACCTTCTTGCCTTCGGTGTGTTCGAAATCAAGGAGCTCGAGCTTGCAGCTCTTCTCGAGCGGTCGGGTCAGATCCCACAACTCACCGTCAACTCTGGAGATGACAGTGCGCTCGAAAAGGGACTTGGAGATGCCCTTGGCGATAGCGCCAGGGGTGGTCTCCCAAGAAGTTCCCTTCTCCTCTTTGCCATTGGGAAGCGAGATGGTGATTTCCTCACGAGGTTTGGCTAAGATTCTTGTCAGTCGATTCGAGTCGAAGGTCGAAAGCGTGAGGAGGATTTGGACTACCCACCAGCGATTTCGGCGTCCTGTCGGGCCTTGATCTTATCGAAGAGATCGAGTCGGTGCTGGATGAACTCGGGGGTCTCAGGGAGCTATCATACACAGTTAGCAGGGTCCGACACGGTGTCATGATACCCTGAGATGTATCGTCATGTACACCGCAGTCAAGAAAGGGACACCAACTTCGAGGCCAGCAGACTTTCCACCCTTGGCAGACTTGTCCTTGGGCTGCTTCTCCTTGGGCTGCTTAGCAGGGCGAGAAGGTAAGCTCTTCTCAGACGCGCCCTCGGCCGCCTTGGCAGCATCAGCTTGATCGGACGACATGTTGAGAACTCTCGCGCGTATGCTGAAGATTTGGTGGGAGTAAGTTGGGTACTTGAAAGTGGTCTCGTCTTGTCGATGGCGGGGCACAAGGGGCATTAAACACGAAGGTGGGGTTAGACTTGAGTCACTGCGAATTTGGCAGGGGCACGGAAATAGTGCCGTTTGGTCGAGCAGTTTAGTATCAAGAGGTATAGTATAGTCTAATAAACTTACGTAGACCTGCTATTGATGTATCAATTATTCTATCCACGTTCAAAGTAGTTATTTACAGGATTTTCGACATGCCCCAGCAAATTGACTTCTTCATAAATAATAGTCACTTGCCGAAGACTGAAACCCAGTCTCTTCGTCCCCTTCAGCTCACTCACACGACACTCGGACAGCAGAGTCAGACCGAACAATATATACCACGTAATGAACCAATGCAGAAGGATTCGATCCGATTCCGACATCGCAGGTTTTGGACTCAGTCACAAGAATCATCAACGATAATCTTATCCTAGGTAAATCAGGGGTATCAAGCTATTTTCCAACCCAGCAATCCGTGACGCCATGCCATCCCGTTTCCATGTCATAAATCGTGCCAAAACCGCATCCGTAAACAAGAACGAAACAGACAGTGTTCAAAGTCCATAGCGTGTGACACACTCTTCCTTATGCGCCTCCAAACAATCTAGTGCGCAGACTCTTGTTCCGCACTTCATACATCTCACACGTCCCCAATACCCGCAGACCTCACAGAACGATCTAACGGGATACTTATTGTTTCGGTGGCCCGTCACTTCGCCATAGTTCAAGGGAGGGTGAGAAAGGAGCCTGCGCAGCTCCTCATCAGATGGCATGTCGGGAACACGCGACATAAGTAAAGGATCGTTGTCACCAGGGTGGCTCGGTGGTGAAGGTCTCAATGATTCAGGAAGAACAGTCGGGGCGTCGGTGTCTGGCATCGCTATGTCTTCTTCTTGCGGTGGTTTGAGGGATGAGGAAGTATCTCTTCGACTATTCGATGGCCGTTTGTTGTTTGCGCCAGAGGCAGCGGAACGAGAATTCGTGGGGTTGGCCTCTGCAAGTGCCTGCATCGCGAGGAAATCGTCTAAATGGTTCCCGAATGTCTTCTGCGATTGCAAAATCTTACGAACATTAGGTGTGTGTTTTCCTTGCGCTGCCAGAAGTCAATCTCCCGTCTTTCACAAATGCTAAGGTCTCGCGCGTACTTCTTCCGCTCTTGACTGGCAACGGTATCGTGTTATCCTTTCCACCATCCTTATCTAAAGCCTCGGCTTCTTTTCGAATTTTATTATCTTGTCGAGCCGTCAGATCGCTATATGTAAGACCAGGAACATTCCTGGCGCGCTTCCTGTTGGTTGGCGCCGTCGGGCGACTGATTGTGTTGTCGGGGACGTAAGCCCAGCCTGGCGCCGAGGTTGTCTTTGCGCTGGCAAGCTCGATGACTCCGAAATTGTTCATCGTTCTCTATAATTCAGGACTCTGAGAAGAAGAAGAAGAATATGATGAAGGAAGAGTATCGAGGCCCTCCATAGAAAATCCACACTAAAGCGGCTGGTATTGTGGCGTAGCCAATCACGAGCCAGACAGCTCGACCAGCACACTCCAATTCCCGCCGAGCTCAGAATATTCCGAGCACCCGGCTCCCATAGTAGCTCTGTCGTAACTGTACCTCTGACGTCCATCGCCAACCATACCTATTGCTCCCGCGAGATAAACACCGCACAATCCGACGTCCACCACCGAAATCGCAGCAATGTCTGTCGCCTCAAGAGTCCTGTTCTCCAGCAGCCGCGCGCTGGCCACCCGATCCTTCAGCACATCTGCCCGACGGATGGCCGATTCGCCTCTCCCTGCCCGGAAACCTTTGGGAGCTTTTCGTGGAGGGTTAGTGATTACAGAAACAGTCTTTCGACGGAAATGAGGTTATTGACTTTGTTGTCAGTCTTTTCGGCTTCCTTCTCGGTAGCTTTCTCGCTGGTAGCGCCTCCTACAGCTATCTCCTCAAGGAGTACAAGATCGCCAACGATCTGTTGACCGAGGATATTTACGTACGTAACGAATGAGATGAGGCAATTGATAAGAGAGAGCGTCATCTAAGTTTCCTCCAATTTCAAGCGCTTGACCACGTGCTAACATTTTTCGACCAGACTCTACAAGCCTCCGTCACCCGCCTGAGCAACCACGTCCAGGCTCTGGAGACAAGGACACAGGGCAAGAAATAGACGGAAAAGACGGGATAAAGACATAATTGTATAAAATAGCCGGAGCAAGGGGTCAGAATAAGCTCCGCTGGGACTCTGGTGGACGTGTTGAAATGAGGATGGCTCCCATTTGCATTTCCTATTCGTATTTGGGGTTGAGATTGTCAACAAGGCGATTGGGGAGATTTGTACGATCATGTGCTATGTTACGAGCATAGCTACTAGCCCAATCTATAAGACATCATGCGGTCTGTGTAAGAGAAGCATTAAAGTCACGGTGAAGTTGAGACAAGAGATCAAAATAGTAGTCAAGTCATGAAATGGTCCCATTGCCACGAAAACTAAAAACCTAGAAAGGTGCGATCAAATGTGAGCACCCAAGAGAACCCGCGCCCGAACAAAAATCAGATATACCCCATTTTGTGTACTATCGTTGTTGTTGACATCAATTCTTTACAGCTCATCATGGACATCCTCCTCCTCGGCATCCTTCTTCTCCTCACTAGCGGCAGGGGCGGCCTCCTCAGTGCCCTCTTCCTTGACGGGGAGCTCGGCCTTGTACTTGCCGTTCTCCTTGATGAAGTTGGCGAGATCCTCAACGGTGCGAGAGCCCTGGTAGGTGACGGGAGCGTCCTTAGCACCAGCGGCGTAGAGCTTGATGGTGGGGAAGCCCTGGATCTCGTCGGGGACATCGTTGAGGGTAGCGTCAACCTTGGCGATGACAACCTTGTCCTTGAACTCGGAAGCGGCGAACTGTGAAGCAAGGTCATCGTACTTGGGGGCGAGAGCCTTGCAGTGACCGCACCAAGGAGCGTAGAACTCGATCAGGACATCCTTGGTGTCATCGAGGACAATGTCGTTGTAGCTCTTGGCAACAACAACAGTGACGGGGCCCTCCTGGGTCTCGGGAATGGGCTCAGACTTAATGCTGGGCTCAATCTTGCCAGCGGCGAAGTCCTCAACGAACTTGGCGATGTTGTCATGTGTGATCTCCTTCTCCTGGTCGAAGGGGAACTTCTGGTTCTTGACAACCTCCTGGATGGCGAAAGAGGGAAACTTGTCAGCCTTGAGGTTTAGGTTACCAGCGTGAGCGCCGAATGCCTTAGCGTCAATTGTGGCGAAGTTGATCTTGCCCTTGAACTTCTCAGCGATGGGCTTGAGGGCATCACCGAGCTCCTTGCGCTCCTCGGGAGTCTCGGAGAAGATGTATGCGAGGGGAATACCAGCAGACATGTAGCTAGAATAGGTCTCGGGGCCGACCTCACCAATGAGAGGGGTGGCAGAGGTGGTAATGAAAGAGGCAATGGCCTCCTCCTCGAACTTCTCGGTGAAGGTATTCTTGCCCTCATCGAAAGACTTGTAGACAACCAGGGCGGGGGCCTTGACGCCCTCAGCCTCAGCAACAGCAGCGTCGTTGACGCCACCGAAGAGGTAGGTATCACGGAGACCCTCGGCGAGCTTGGAGAAGGTCTCGTTGGAGCTCTTATCGTCGGCGTTGAGGTAGGCGACGACGACAACCTTGTCGGCGGTCTTGAACTCCTCGAGGGTGTCCTTTGTGAGAATGGAGACAGCGGGGAGGGACTGCTTGATCATGTAGGAAGTGATACTGTAAAAATCTGTCAGTCGAGATCTCGGCTGAACATGACAGGTGTCGACTTACCCAGCAGCCTTGCGCTGGCCAGAGTAGGGAGTGACATTGTCAAGGCCACGGAAGACCTTGAGGGTGGGGTAGCCCTCGACGCCCTGGTCTTTGCAGAGGTCGGCCTCCTCAGTGCAGTCAATCTTGGCGAGCTTGATGTTCTTCTCCTTGAGAGTTGTGGCGGCCTCCTCGTACTCGGGGGCGAGGGCCTTGCAGTGACCGCACCAGGGAGCAAAGACTGGAGAAAGAAGCTGTTAGCGGGGGATGGAGGGGAAGAGAGGCTTCAATGGGGTCTTACACTCAGCGAGGACGAGATTGTTGGATTTGACGAACTCCTCGAAGGTGTCCTTGGTCAGCTGGTGAACATCTGAGTCGGCAGCAGAGGCATAGGCAGCCAGAGCAGTCATGAAGCTGCAGGCGATCTTCTTGTGGTGCATGATGGGCTGTCTTTTTATTGGGGTATCCTATAAAACACAAAGAGAAGGTTCCGCTGAACAGGACCGGGCAGGCAATATAAAGGAAGGAGGAGGAAGAAGAGGAAGAGGAAGATTTGAGTTGGGAAGTGGAGGGAAGATGGAGGAGAGTTTTGTAGTTGGAGCTTGAGGACAGGTAACGTACATCTAGCCGCATGTACCGTACTGTAGAGAAAGCTACGGGAGGGTACAATGGCTTGAGAGAGGTTGGAGCCAACTAACATCAGTCAACCCCACTCGGAGACAACTCCCGCTGAGTCTTGCGCGGGCCAAAGGTGGAGAGGGACGAGGAATTGCCCGGGGGGGTCCAACTTTCAATTGAACAAGTGTCCCTTTGGTCTGGTGGCACTGGATTTCTCTATGTACATACGGTAGGTAGGTCGATGATCAAGCCCATACCGCCGGATCACTCTGCACTCTGCAGACAGGGACGGCCCCTCCAAAGCGGCGGAAAGCTAGTGGGTTTCCTTACCGGGCTCTAAGCCCTTTCAGGCCATAGTGAGGGTCCGGCGCTGCCTGTCATTGGGCGGAGCTGCCCTACAGCAAGCGTCTGAGCCCCTCAGCTGCTGTAAGGTCCCTGGGTCCACAGGGGCAGGACAAGGACAACCGTCGCCGCCGCTGAACTGCTTATGGGATCATGGATGGGATCTTCAAAGAATGTTGGTTCTACGTAATACAGATATTTATAATCAGGTAGTTAAAGGATCGTGCGTGAAACAGACTAGACATCTCACTATGAAAAAGTACCCCTTTTTCTTTGGTTAGGTAAGTAGGCATTGTTTGTCAATGTTGATGTATCCGTATCATCACCCGAGGTACACCACCTACATTCTCATCATCAAAGTTGAAACTCTGATAATGACAGATTAGGGAAGTGCAAAGACAATTGCCCAATTAAGCTGCAATAAATACGGGATTTGATGCTCCGAAAGGCTCGGAACCCCTGGCTAAATGAGATGACATTTGGAGTCACGATTACAGATCAGCATCTGTTCAATGTGGCAACATCTTTGTCTCAAGCCAAAAGGCCACGTCTCTGTGACAGCCTAGGTACCAACATGCATACATCCAACTACACAGCCCAGCCTTGCCAATGTTGAACGTGACATGGATGGAGGGGTTGCTCACGTAGTTAAAATTAGATGAATGGCATTCCATTATGTGCTTTATTGATTGATATTCTTTTCCACGAATTACCAATCCAGCCTCGAAACTATATTCTTTTTTGGTCTAACTCAACCTTCCCACTCTGACCAATCCCGACGGTCACAACTTTTTTAAGTTCTTGAACCTCATTCATGCCATTCACCTTTTGAATCCACCAAATCCTTCTCAGCCTCTGTAGAATGAATCCGTCAATGCTAATCTAGCTACCTACTGTGTAGGCAGCCAGTTTTGTATGTAGTTGAGTCAAACATCGATAAGTGGTAGTATGTGATCCCCGTGAAAAATAAAGACGTGTCACAGGAATGAGGCGAAACGTGATCCCGCTTTACTCAGCTCATCGGCCCCACGGAAACGGTCAGTTTACGGCCCCACCATGATACTTCCTCCGTGACATACCGGACAGTAGGATACTCCTCCCCAACTTTAACAAGTAAGTACAGAATTATCGGCTTCTGACTTGGCGGTGATAGCCATCCAATACACGAATAATGCTGGCATAGGTACCTAGGTTTTCGGTTCCAAGTCAAGAAAGGTTCCAAGAGATCCCCAGCTTTCAAAGTCGTAATCATGTTCAATTCAATGCTATCTTTCTATGACTTGAGAGTGTTCAGTGCTTCGTGTATCATTATATGTGTCTCCTCCCTTTCTACTTGCTGTGAGGTCCCCGAGGTTTAGGTGGTGCACGGTGATACTGAATCGGCCACTTGACGCCGATGTCCAGCTGATGAGCAGCGCTGAGAACAAAGTCGGGCTCCCTGAGGAACTGTCTTGCAGCAAGCACGAGATCAGCCTTGGGATCCTCGTTCTCCTGGACGAGTGAACGAGCAAATGGACCATCTGTAATGTAACCAACAGTTCCAATCAGAAGCTCTTTTCCATCAGCACGGACGGCATCACGGATCTTGCCTGCCAGGTCAGTCTGGACGGTTTGATGGACCTTGATCTTTTGCGCCTTCAAGTTGCCTCCACTGCTGATATCGAGAACGTCAACGCCTGCTCCAGGAAGCTGTTTTGCGAGCCGAGTACTGCTCTCGAGATCCCAGGAAGGTTCGTTATTCCATTCCATCCACTCGGTAGCAGAGATCCGTACCCAGACGGGCATCTCCTCAGGAACAACAGTCCGAATAGCTTCAACGATCTCAAAGAGAAAACGAGTACGGTTCTCAAAGCTACCTCCATACTGGTCTGTTCGTTTCTGAGACCATGTCAGTTGATGAACCATTCTCAACGAATGTCAATACTACTTACATTGGAGAGAGGTGAGAGGAACTGGTGCAGGAGGTAGCCATGAGCCGCGTGGATCTCAATGACATCAAAGCCAGCCTTGACAGCTCTTATAGCAGAGTCCTTCCATTTCTGCACAAGATGCTTGATCTCGTCAGTCGTCAGCTCGTGAGGTGTACCAAAGTCTTCAGCGAACGGGATAGCACTGGGGGCGACAATATCATCTGGCCAGCCGCCGACTTCTTTGGTAGCAAGTGCTTTATTTACACTACCGCCGATCCAAGGCGCAACTGTGCTCGCTTTTCTGCCAGCCTGGAGGATATGTTAGCTTCACAACGTCGAGGCTCCTTCTGGAATAATGACCCTACATGAGCGAGTTGGATGGCAGCCTTGGTGTTTTGGCTATGGATGAAGTCTGTGATACGCTTCAGAGGAACAATTTGACTATCCTCCCAGAGACCAGAGTCCTCAGGGCTGATCCGACCACGAGGTTCAACGGCGGTGGCCTCAACAAAGACGAGGCCAGCACCTCGAAGAGCGAACTGGCCAAGATGAACAAGATGAAAATCTGTTAGGTGACCATCTTTGGCAGAGTAAGTGCACATGGGAGAAACAACAAAGCGGTTCTGCAGCTCAACGCCACGAGTGCGGAGGGGCTTGAACAGCGTCGGGGCCGAATCGGTCTTGAGCGGGGTTCCGGCCGGCGGCTCTTGGGCCGGGGTGAAGTAAGGAACCCCGGAGGCTGCCTTGTTCTCGATATTTGTGTTGCCCATAGTTGCTCGTGCCCTTGAGTAGTAAAATGTGCTGTCTAGGTTGACAAGGTTGTCGACGTTGTCGACATTGGTGGGGATTTATGCTGAAGTCGGATGTGTTCAAGGCTCTTGACCTGGTTGCAGAATCATGCGCCGTGTTGATGCAATTCCACTGGGTTCCAAGTATCCACCAAATCAACAGAGTATGATTACGAGATATAGGCTCAATTCTAGGGGCTTGCCTGTCTTTACATATAAGGAGGTAGAGCGTGGGACAACATGGTATTTATATCACCAAGACTAACCACCTTTACTCTTGGTTCATTGACACCTCAATGGCGATCTTTCTTCTTGCCTAGCTCTCTATCATTAAGAGGGTCATGGTCTGCTCAGCTAAGCGAACGATGACGTGCGAGAATAAATAGCCTTAGTAAAGCTATTGCAAGCATTATCGCTCTGTTGTTCAACTGTGACATCCAGGAATCGTTTTCCCCTTGGGTTTCTAGTGTCCAATTTGGGAGCAGACGCTGAATAATCAAAATAGTTAAGCCGAGCCCCTCTTCGATAACGTTATCATTCCAAGGTCGAGCATTCAACTCTTGCTGAACCAAATCACCCCGAAACACGAAGGCCCCCGTTATTGGGACAACGAGGATTTAGGGCCTATATTTCGTACAGCAACTCTCACGACTGTAATGACAGACACATTGACAAAGCAGTCGTGATAAACTCATATTCCTTCATCTTGACATCAAGACCACAGAACAAAGCGCCGTCCAAATCAAACAAGTCAGGACTACGGATACTTGTTTCAACAAATAAGTAAATATCTTGGTATTTGGATTCTACATATCCTCATGGCATTTCCAGTGCAGAACTTGTTCTTGTGATACATCTTGCAAATACTCGTAATTGGTCTTTAGTCAGTCATCTGTTTCCTCAGTCCCTCAAGACTTGCATCGCTGAGTATCTGCATCTTCAGTTCAAGTATGCGAAGTAGAACACACATAACATACCGTATGGTATGGCCACGCAGCCCAAGGTCTTGACTCTGCATATATGTTTACTTTCAAGGTTTTGGTCCAATCATCAGATAATGATCAGCAGCACTACTTCGAAACCAATCTGGACAAAGTCAAGTGCCTGGTGCAGCAGATGCAGGAACAAACCCAATGACTATCACACCCTTGAACAAGACGCCGTCATCGACTGTCATGTCTACAGTTACCGCCCGGGCCGATCTCACTAAGACGACACATTACAATGCCAGGACCCGGCACAAAGGCTAATAATTCGAAGATTTCTTCTTCTTTTGGTCTCTGCCGTATAAGACGGTAGACATCTTAGTCTATTGACAGGTTCATGTTGACAAAAGTCGTGACATGGTCTATACCTAGGCTGGCGATCTTGACCAGCGCCCAAATAATCACAACCAAAACTCCGGATATCGCTCTTCTTCAAGTTCATCGATGATATGATGACCGATTTCACCCCTCGCATAATTCCTTCACAGGCATCTCAAGCAGCTCTCTGTCGTATCTCGACCACTTATGCCTGGTTTGTAGGCTTAAAGGTCCAGCGCTGGTTCTCAGTGCCCTCGGCGAAAGGAACACCGAGTTCAAATAATCGGAGAACAACGTCGGAAAAGTCCTTGAAGAAGGCATCGTTGTCCTTGGCGTACTTCTCGACCCAAGGCTTCAACTTCTTGTCCTCGATCAGGGCAATGTCGCTGGGAAGCATCATCAGAGACTTGGTAGACTTGTCTTCGTACTGGGCAGGGCCATTCCACTTCTTCCACTGCCACTTCTCTTCGATAAGGAGGCGGAAGTAATCGTTGGTCAGAACGGTAGGGGAGAAAGTCCAGGGGCCTTCGAAGCCGGATCGGTCAGTGTGGCAGCGGCCAAGCGCGTGGGCGCCGGAAAGGGCGACAATCTCCTGGTCGTTGAAGCCCATACGGTAGAAAATGTCTCGGAGATGTCCAGAGCGCTTTGAGGCGTCGGGAAGACGTCCATCGGGTGTGCAGCCAGAGACATCACGATCAGAGCGACCAGGTCGGTAGGGAATGGCAGGGCCCAGCATCTCCTGGATAGCGCAAACACCAGCAAGGATCCAGAGATCAGAGTAGGTGATCCAAGGGAACTTCTCCTTCACAGGCTCGAGGAAGTTGCGGGCAGCCGCCAGGCCGGCATTGGCACCGTGGTCAGACTCAGGGGCGAATCGCATGGTGGCACCGTTGCTGCCACCAGTACCAGTCTCCTTATCGTAGGTACCGCTGGCGTGCCAAGCGAGACGTACGAGAACGGGGCCGTAGCTGCCGTCATCATAGTCATCCTTCTCCTCCAGGCGAGCAGCAATCTCGTTGTAAACCTTCTGATAGTCGTCCTTGGTAGGGTTGAAAACCTTGGGGGTAGCGGAAGAAGCACCGTTGGCGTAGAAGTAGTAACCAGCACCACCAGCAGCGACAGCGGCACCAGTCAACCACACCCAGGCGGAAGATGACTTCTGTGCGGTTTCAGAAGAATAGTATCGGCGACCCTGCTGGCGGATGACCTGTCTAGGAGCAATGGCGAAGCCGTTGCGAGTGGCGCGAGTGGCCGCGCGGGCGAACTGTCGGGTAGTCGAGGCCATCTTCATGAGAAAACGTTAGTTAGAAGTCAAAGGACAGTGTTGAGTGTGCTTCTTGTTGAGGCTGCCAGGGGAAGCAAGCTTGTCTTGATACTGGAGTGCTCAAGTTTGAACGTACCTTGGATGTGTAAGATTACAAAGTGGTAAGACGCTTTGGAAAGGTGACTCCAAGGAATTTTAAAGATAGGATGGGAGAGAGGAAGAAGAAAGAGTCAAGACGAGAAGGTCTGTGGCATCTATTAAGAAGGGATGCGTCGGTTGAAGTGGCGGGAAGCCGAGGGCGGAACGACCTGCCGTGTCAGTGCCAGGAAGTCAGGCAATCCCGACCCTGACTGATAACCTCTGCCGGGGACACGATTCATGGAGGGTTGCCGAATGGGGCAAGCAGCTTCTGTCTCCCTTTCCATTTCCGTGCCGGAGTGTTTCGATCTTTGACATGTGTGTGATCCGAGATCGGGGAGGCCATGATGGAATTGCTGCTATTCACTGAAGTATATGTTTGACGAACTCTTCCTTCAAATAATTACCACAGGCATCGATGTATCTGGACCGCGAATTGATTCCTAACATGACCCTCAACTTCCCCAGGTACTCTTGCCTCGGAGCTGTACCCGGCTTCATGAACCGGCGCGATGTCTTGAAATTGAACAGCAACAATTGGCCAACTTGATATCTCTGCCCCATATCTTTACTCAAACCTGGCGGGGATGGCGCTCTTATGGATCGGGTGGAGTCGGTGGGGATCCTTGGTAATGAAGATTCTCTCGCCTCTGAGAGGTTACTGATACTTGAGGCCTGTCGAGGGACAGCAGGGGTCATTCTTTGAAGCCTTCAGCCCGCTTATGATTAGTATGTAAACACTTCAACATGAGGCTCATGAGACAAGTCGTCTAAAAACGGTTTCCATGAGTCAGGCCAAAAAGGGGACACTCTCTCGGCTGTGAACCACGAGGCGGCCAACCATCAGAGTTCAACTAGTCTAATTTGGAGAAACAAGAGAAAATCTCTGAAGGATTGGGACCCTGAAAGTAACCCTCCATTACGGAATCCCAACGCCTCCCGTCATCAGTTAACACACGGAGATCATCAGTCAGCACAGCGTGGCACCCGAACCGAAATGTGACGTCCGTCTCCCATTGTTTCAACATCAATTATGGCGCCGAGGATCAGATCAGAACGTCGTTATGGTGCAATACCTTTCTTTTGATTGGATTGTCTCCCTGAATGAATTTTTTTTTTATGTCGAGATAAGATTTGTCATATGTTGCTTCGAGGTACAAGCGCAGCAACGCCCTCCACAAGCGGGTACTTATGGAATCTTTTCTCGACAACAGGGGTCTACCCCAAAGATTCCAAATCGCTTCTCGCATGTGATTTCGTCATATCCAAATTACAGTTGATTCTGGACTATGTAGCCTTAACAGCCACCTTTAAGCTACAGTCAGATTCTCACACAGCGGCACATATCTGATCACACGAATACGCCCAATCTCTTTTGGCCCCTACTCTACTGCCCAGGGAATCGTCTACGAACTCGAGTATTTCCCGGTTTCCTAGACTTGCAGGCTCTATACCTCCCTGGATAGATCAGGAATGGTTCAACATCCCGAATCCCGGAGACAAACTCTCTCCGGCAATCCTCCGGTGGAGACAGAGCATCTCTCTGGAAGTTGGTAGTGTTACCAATGGCCTCTTCTAACAAGAAGCTAATGCAAGTGCTCGTTACCCCACAAGATCCGGACTAGACACCAGTTCAATGTTCCACTCATTAATAGCTTCATGCTCAAGGATATATATAGATCTCGTCTACAACTTGTGATATGTCGTCAAGAAGAATTCTCTGCCCGCCAAATTAAGGCATCTTCCAACTTCCAAGACTCAGCAATATGCTGAAAAGCCATACCTTATCCTCCAGGTTCATCCAAGCCACATCTGCTATTGTATATGCAGGGGCCATTTCGTTTATAGTACAACTCGAGTGCCCCAACACTTGATTAAGTCCTCCTGGATCCTAGCGCCTCAAACACCTTTCACGTCCAGTTCAGTCCATCATATTTTTCATCCTCAGTTGAAGTCTGCGTTGCCCTGCGCATCAGCCTCCGGTTCACCATGAGTCTCGTAGAAGTGAGAGTATTGGGCCTCGGCCCTCTGCTTGCTGGCCTCGTCCAGCTCTCCCTTTGCAGCTCCATTCTCCTTGCCGCTGCCAGTAGAGAGTTTGGCTACTGACGATGGCCTTTAGATTGTTAGTTAGTTTTCAATAGTATCGAAGCGCATACCAACTTACCCAAAGATTTCTCTGTCGATTTGCAAGAATACCTGCATGGCATCCTTGTTGCCTCTCTCGACCAAGTACGTGAGATATACTTGGGTCAAATCCTTCTTGACTGATGGGGAGAGTCGGCTTCGTTCTCGCAGTTCGTCGAACACTTTCTTCATACGCTCGCTGTGTTGAGCTTCATTCTCGGGGCTTGTTGGCTGATGCAACTCAAAGTTGAACCACCGATCCCAGAATAGCCTGCTGTCCGCACACCACTGAACGTTCTTCATGAAAACCCCGCGGGCCTCTTCCACCGAGCCCTTGGCTTTCAAGAGCAACAGAGCCCATTCTGCAACCAAGGCAGCCTTGGTGTACACGTCTACCGTAGCAGAGTCGATCTGGTCCTTAAATACCTGAATAGCAGCATCAAGGCCGTTCTGTCGTCGCTGAACATTGGCCCATGACACAATGACCTCGACACAGTCTGGTAGCCTCAGAAGGATTGCCTCGTGGATGTCAAGCGCAACGTCAACTCGGCCAGCACTTTCTTCGAAGTAGGCCCATTGCAGTCTAATTCCCGGTCGACTAACAGGTACAAACATCGTGGAAGCACGTGCATAGATGTTACGAACTTCCTCTTGCTTGCCTTCCTGTCCACTCATCCACCGGGCATATCGGAACCAGAGGTCATCGTAGTAGGCGCACGTGACAAGGCATCGCTCATACAAAGCGACGGTTCGGGTGAAATCACCTTCAGCTTCCTCGAAATCAAGGTATTTGCGCCAGTTTACCAAATCCTTATGTTCCAAAGCCGTAACGTGAAAGTAGGGTCTCTTAATCTCCGATTCGTAGGTCCAGCGCTTCGATACCTCAGTTTGCGTCGTGGTAAAGATTTCGTAGTACATGGCATCAATCTTTGCACGAACATCGCGCTCAATCTCCAGCTCAGCCCTAGGACCGCCGCCATAAGCAATTGTTTCAGCCTCGACCTCCGTCCTGAAACGTGAGAGATCCTCGGCAGACACCACCTCTGTGATGGGTTGATTGTGCGATAGCGATCGAAACCTCTCGTAGTAACGTGCATACTGGTGCATTGGTATGCGAATGATTCGTGCATGGATGGCGTAAATTTTGTCTTGTGCTTCCTGACGCTCTTCGTACTCAATGTACTTGTCCCAGAAAGGATGTGCAAGAAAATCTAGTCCAACAAAGGCTGATCCTCGCTCAAAGAGTCTAGAGAAGAAGGTTAGCAAGTGAGCTCATTGTAGAAGGGATAGCTCAGGGGAAAGGGTGGAGAGGATTAATACAGAGGGGAAGATGGTTGTGCGAGTGGGCAGCAAAACCGATATCATGTTCTACCGAGCGGGTGCGGGTGACGTGTAACGCAGGGACGACTTTGGAGTTTAGAACGAGCACGGATTGAGCATCAACAGAGCCTGGCAGGGAGCGTGAGAAAGCGTCCCGGCTAAAGGGGCTATCGCAGGCATATCTCACCATCAGACACTTTTGATAGTAGAGTGCAGAGCCCTCGCGGATATGTCGACCGAGACCACTCAGGTCAAGCGGGAATACTGCGCCAGAAGGCATGTTAAGGGAAGGGGAAGGAAACCATCCAAATGGAACTTACTCTCTGACGAGGTGTGGGTCATGGGTTGTCTCCATCTTGAAGGAGCAGTAGTCCGTCCACAAGTCGACAGAATTGGTGATGCTTGCGCATCCTCGCTCGTATACCTAAAGCACTTTGTCAGCCGTGTCGCAGGCGACGTCTGGAGTGTACTAACCATCTCAGCAGACTCAGGGCCGGCAATGTTGAACTCCATATCGGCATATTTCTTCCAGTATCCAAAGAGCAGAGGGAATTTAATGAGGAATCTGTCGTAGGCATCGCGGAAGGTCGCTAGTGCTTGAGGGCTTGAGTTGCGATTCAAGCCACCCTCCAATGTCTCACAAGCTTTGATGAGGTTCTCCCAGTGCTCGAAGTTATCGGGGTCGGACTCCTGTTGTTGCGCCAAACGGTCAGTATTCGAGTTCGAGTTTAAGAAGAGGATAAAGGCGGGAGCTTACCACCTCAGCATTGTGCTTGCGCACAGTTGCGTACTCCTCATCGGAGCCGAAATGACCGAAGTCGCTCATGACGTTGTAGTTTTTAGTGCTTCGTCTCCCAGAATCGCTCAATTTAATTGACGTTAGGAAATTGGCGATGAATATTCGATCTCGCGGTGTGGGTTTGAAGTTAAGAGGTTTGTAGATAGGAGATGACGCTTGAGGCTCACGTCTGTCGCGAAAGGCAGGGGCTGGTAGTTCGCGCCGCAGACAAGCTCTTTTTTTTCAGGTACTTTCTGGGTTAGTCACTGGCCAAAGAACGTCCTGTGCACGTGCTTAGTTCAAGACGCGCAAAATAGTCGTAAGTTGGTGCTACCAGAGAATTTGATGCAAGCAGGTCTGTACTTGTCCAGCAAGTCTCCGCAATTGACATGGGTCTTCAGATCCAGTCCGGGCCAACAATTTGCCGTTCTCAGGATGACTCAGCGTCAAGAAAGCCTGCAGATATTTTTGGCGAAGCGGTGCGGGAGAAGAGTTCTTCTCTTTCTCTCTATTCTAAAATGGGCTGATGATGATTCTCACATAATCATATGATAGGAAGAGAATGAACGCTCTCTTTTAGAGAGCATGATCTCAATTTCGAATCTGAAGCTCTCTTATCATTTTGTTTCTATTGTTGCGCGACGGTCTCCGATGCTCGACAATACCATATATATATAATCTTGTGTCTCATGACAAGATCCTTGCGCATGTCTCACGACCTTTTTCTTTGAGATACCTCAAATCTTCTATGTTGTTATTTGGTAATTTTTCCAAAGCTGGGCTGGGATTTCCGTTTGGGAGTGTCCTTGCCCTTGGTGTCTTTTGAATCTTGTTTTTGGCATGTCTTCTCTCCAAGTCAAATTACCTTAAAGCACTTCGGCGAGTATATACAAAGCTTGCTGGTCCGTCCAGAATTCGTGGCAAAAGTCTCGTGGCCTGATATGAAGTTTTATCACTATCCTATGTCTTGCCAGAAGTTGTTGATGTCTTGTTTTTAACACTGATAGCAAAAGGTCTATCAAATTGTTGGTATCATGAACCTGCAGAGGTACTTGGTCTTAACATTCATAAGGTAAAAGTAAATGCGCAAACTTCGCGCTCTTGACCTTATCCAAGAGTTTCTAGCCCAGTGCATCATGGACGATGGGCCTGCATCGTGATAATAATGTATCATATTCAGATGCTTCATGCCAAAGCTCGAAGATCCAATGTTTGGCTACCTTGGGTACCTATTTGTGGACGCCACTAGTGGGGCTTCGTCCACTGAGGTGGCTGCTAAGGGAATTAGCAGTCAGGGGTCATCATGGTACCCCAGCTGAGAAACGTCATTTGTAGAGCGTCCAGTCCATCCAGCGCCTCTCACATTTGTCTAACGCCCAAAGCTCAAAACTTCATCCAAGCATTGGCTGAACCCTACAGAGCCCAACTACGCCCGCCCGAAAGTCTCTTGTCCTTAAAACTTATCTTACACTTCCAATCAATCATGAGTCAGAAGAATTATTGAAACCATTTCGCATTCGCAAGCGCAAGCGCAATCCTATCGTGGACACGTTGACCTTGCATCCTCTATCCATTCCATGTTATCCTATTGAACAATACACGATGGAATATTCCTCAGGGGCCTATTCTTCTCAGGCTCCCTCTCCCGAAAAGTCATGCGAGCTCTACATACGCGACTATCCTCATCGATCCATCGCCATTGTTTCAACCTCACACACTCTGATTTTTCGATATACTTCCTCCACCAGTGAAGCCATCGCGAACGGCTCGCTTACATCCTTGGCTGCGTCTACGAGGAGCCGCGGAAACCCCGGCGAAGCCTTGGTATCGAAATGCATGGTCGAGTTCGCACCTGTGTCGAGGCATTTGCTGCAGGACTATCGCCGTCTCACACATCGACCGATCTACGGGACACTAGGCTTGATCACAGTTAACAGCGAGGTCTTCCTATCCGTCATTACACATGCGACACGTGCTGCCACCTTGCGGCCTGGCGAGACTGTTGAACGTATAAATGGAGTAGCGTTCTACTGCCTGAGTAGCGCGGACTATGACGATGTCGTTCCTCTCGAATCACTTGATCCGGAGTTTTCAGATTCTGCATCGGTACAATCTGGTCCTTATGGACAAGGCCTTGGTCGGAGAGAAGTTGCCATGGAGCACCCATGTCACGAGCTTCGCAACCTACTAAGCAACGGAACATTTTACTACAGTACAGATTTCGATCTCACGAACCGGCTTCAAGACAGGTTCGTTATTACCTGACCCTGTACATCATTAGACTGACCAGAAACAGACCAATCAATTCCAACTCGTTCGAAATCGATAATTTTGACGATGGCTTTCTCTGGAACTCGTTCATGATCAGTCCTCTTGTACAGTTTCGTTCCCGTCTCATGCCTAATGAACGAGCTGCACTTGATTCGTCACGAATACTGACATCGGCAATTCGTGGCTTCTGTAAAACCATGACAATTCCGCTAAGCTCTTCGCCCCTGAAGAATTCCAAGTCAGGAATGCCTTCCTTTATGACTCTCATATCTCGACTATCCTGTCGCAGAGCTGGAACTCGCTTCAACTCACGAGGTATTGATGATGATGGGCATGTGGCAAACTTTGTTGAAACTGAAACCACTTTCTGGAGCCCGGCGGGAACCATGTTCTCCTATGCTCAAGTGCGCGGATCAGTACCTGTCTTTTGGGAGCAAGCAGCCGATCTTATTCCAGGTCGGCAGAAGATCACAGTCACCAGATCTCCCGATGGGACGCAGCCGGCCTTCAACAAACATTTTGAGGAGCTCGAGCAATCGTACGGAGCTGTCCATGTCATCAATCTTCTTAGTGAGACAAAGCCTGGCGAGGTTGAGCTCAGTACACTCTACCACAATGGTATCAAACACTGTCCATTAAGTCGTGCTGGCCCAGACGGATCTTCGGACCATGCTCTCTTGCGAGAAACCAATTACGATTTCCACGCAGAAACAAAAGGACCAGCGGGATATGAGGCTGCGCGAGACATCCGCCGCTATATTGAGGACTCCACCGACGGTTTTGCCTACTTTCTTGCGGAGGAGACAAGCGAACCGAGATACGACCATGATGGCTCCGGGCAAGCTCGTATGGTGGTTGTGCTCCAGCAGGAGGGTGTCTTCCGAACCAATTGTCTAGACTGTCTTGACCGAACTAATCTTGTGCAGACCATGATCTCACAGATGGCAGTTGAGGCCTTTCTTGGACATCGTGGTGAATTTGCTGCCTCTGATTTCTGGATGAGACATTCCAGTCTCTGGGCAGACAACGGCGACTCTCTGTCCAAAACCTATGCTGGGACAGGCGCGCTCAAGTCATCTTTCACGCGTCATGGAAAGATGTCTCTTGCAGGGGCCGTGGCTGACGTGCGAAAGTCTGTCCAACGTATCTATCACAACAACTTCCTCGACCCCTCTCGTCAAATCACTATTGATATGCTTTTGGGTCGCCTCGTTGGGCAAGCGGCGGTCCTTCTGTTCGATCCCATCAGCGATTTTGTGTCAACAGAATTGTCCAAAAGGAGCAGCGAGTTCACGTCATACAATAGCATCACCATATGGGTTGGCACGTTCAACCTTAATGGCCGTACCGAAGGCGTCAATGATGATCTTGGCCCTTGGTTATTCCCGGAGACCTTGGGAGATGCGCAGCCGGACATCTATGTGGTTGGTTTTCAAGAAATTGTAGAGCTCAGCCCGCAACAGATTATGAACAGTGACCCATCGCGGAAGAACTTATGGGAGCAGGCCGTGAAGCACAATCTTAACGATCGACAAAAGCGGTTGGGGGGTGAGAGGTATGTGTTGCTGCGGAGCGGGCAGCTGGTTGGGGCAGCACTCTGCATTTTTGTAAAGACGCCCAGTCTGGCCAACATTAAGAACGTGGAGGGTAGCGTGAAAAAGACGGGCATGTCTGGCATGGCTGGAAACAAGGGTGCCGTGGCGATCCGATTCGACTATGCCAACACTCACATATGTTTTGTCACGGCACATCTGGCTGCTGGCTTTTCAAACTATGATGAACGCAACCGGGACTATGCAACAATCCATCACGGTTTACGATTCCAGCGGAACCGGGGAATCGATGATCATGGTAAGTACTCTTGGTACTGTGTTCGCTGAATCTACACATACTAACAACGACAGACGCCGTCATCTGGTTGGGCGACTTCAACTATCGCATTGGGCTCAACTCAGAAACTGCGCGTGCGTTGGTGAAGAAGCGTGACTTTGAAACGCTATACGAGAATGATCAGCTCAATCTGCAGATGGTGGCTGGATTATCGTTCCCCTTTTATTCTGAAGCTCGCATCACGTTTCCTCCGACGTACAAGTTTGACATAGGAACCGATGACTATGATACCTCGTGAGTGCACTTCCATGGCTTGGTGTTTCTATTCACGAATTCTGACCAGAGTACAGTGAGAAAGCTCGCATTCCTGCGTGGACGGATCGTATTCTCAGGAAGGGTTCCAACCTCAGACAGATCTTGTATAATTCGGCACCTCTCAAATTCTCAGATCACCGGCCAGTCCATGCTGCCTTCGAATGCAGGGTGAGCATCGTGGATGAGCAGCTCCGAGATAAGATCACCAATGAGTTGTATCAACGTCGAAAGGCCGAGGTCGGAGACGCAACAGCTCATCTTGGCACTGGCGAGGACAGCGATGAAGATCTCATTGGCTACGATTCTATCGAGCCAGGGCTTCCTCCCGCAAGTTCGGATGGGCAGAAGTGGTGGCTCGACAACAGGCAGCCCGCTCGTGCCGCTGTACCTGTGCCCAAACCCAGAAACGGGCAAGCCGTGGGGCTCAATCCCAATCGCCCTTCGAATCCTTTTGGTCTTACCGAAGAGCCGGACTGGATCTCTATTCCAAGATCATCGTCGAAGGCATCTCTCTCCAGCATGTCCAGTTCACCATTCGAAAAGGTCAACTTGCCCAACGTTATGGCATCAGGGTCGAGTATTCAACCTCGAAAGCTGCCACCCCCATATGACCCATCAGCATTGCCAGCTAAGGTCGGGCGCATGAATCTCCTAGATGACCATGCTCCGATGGGCCATGTCGAGACGCCACCTCCGCCACCACCTCCGCGACGAGGAACATCAGGAGTAGCGGCAATGGGACAGACACCACCGAGCAACGGGTTTGGTCTTAATAGGGTGCAGACTCAACCGCTACCTCCGCCTCTTCGGCCTACGTCAGCAGCTTCTCATGCTTCCCAGTTCTCGCAGAACAGCAAGGCTGGGAAACCTGCGCCGCCAGTAGCAAAGAAGCCCGCACATCTGACCACGACATCGCCAAGCTCGAGCCCAGCACTGAGCCAGAGTGCCATGGAAGACGACTTTCGGCCACCGCTGCCAACAAGGACTCCCACGGAGGGTCTTGCAGGAAGTCCTCGCTCACAGGGCAACGGAGTCGCCTCACGGAAGCCCGTAGCACCTCCGAAGCCTGGCGTGAACGGACCTGGTGCAAAACTGTCTAGCTCGACCGGAGCGGTAGGGCTACCCGGTATGACGGGCGGGGTGCCATCTCGGCGGGCAGCACCGCCAGTACAGCCCAAGCCACAGTTACCGCAGCAGAACCAGAACCAGCATCAACAGCAAGGATCTACGGATCTATTGGGATCTCTGGGTGAGGGTCAAGAGGTAGGAGGGTGGGAAACGCTGAAGCCGAGCACAAGGGCATAGGAAAAGTGAATTGGTTTGCAGGTATATGTTAGTTTGGTTCTTGGATGCGAGGCGTTGGGAAGCGTTTTGATGGGCTTGAATCACTTGGGGAGATGTGTCTTGGGACTTGGCTTGGGTTATGACTATGGTTATGCCTTTAGTATAGGTAGGGGAAAAAAGTACAAACACGACTTGGTTATCGTCTCAGAGATTCGCCAGCTGATAATTGTTATCTCTGATGGTGTTTTATGTTTTGCAGCATGTGAGCCAGCAACTGGATCATGGGTGACCCAAGGTAGTTTGTCCAACCACGAGTCGGTCAAGAAAAGCGCCCAGATCGGAGTTAGCGGCGTGTTTCGCGGGGTGATTTTTATAGATCGGTATCGCCAAGACCCACCTAATTTAATTAATTTGTGCCTCTCGTCGGGTGATGCATTATTACTGTGGCGGCCACTTGAATGCGTGTGAGGCGTGAGACTGTACAGTAGTTAGGTACTAGGTAAAATTGCTACCCTGGAGGGCCAAGGTGGAGGGATTTATTGTACATGCAGTATCGAGTGTCTAGGCCTCATGACCAAGCCCCCCAGATGAAGACCTCCAATGAAATAATTCTCGGCATCTACGGGCGTGAAGGGGCTGATCTGGTCTGATATGATTTGATTGTTTTGTCAGAAATACATACTCTGCTGACTCTTTGGGCTTAACGTTGACTGGTGTTGAGTTCGGCACCAACCTTTGGTCCCCGTCACCGACACTTTCGATGCTAGGTACAGTATCCACAGTTCAGTTGATGTGACCTGCCAGTAACTTCTTACCTGAGGTATCAAGCATTACTGAGGCTGCAGCGCTCCATGCACTGCATAATAGGGAGGTGCATGCAGGACATGGTAGCGCTCCATGACTGTACTGTCGTAGGTTACCGTTCACGCTGCACTCCCGTCTCTCTTCCCTGTCGTGAGCACGAGACCTGGGTTGACCTTGGACGATCTAGACCAGCGCTGATCACTTTATGTATCAATCATATCACATCCTTGTATGTCCTCGACCTTTGGACCTTGCGAAACCCACTCACTCTCTTCCTTCGTCTCTTCGTCTTCGTCTTCTCTTCCTCTGCCTCTGATGCTCTCAATGTTCTCGATAACCTCAAAGAACAACCCCCAACCTAAGACCTCCAGCCACTCTCGTACCTATTTAACCTGATTCATTCTTGGCCTGCGCTCAGAAGC